TTTTGCTCCACCCTTTTTGCAAAGGTAATTCCAGTCTGGTTGGCTGTTAAGTGGCCCTTCATTAGGTATATCTTCCAGCTATGCCCTGATCAGAAGTGTCTGAATTGTTGGGTTTGCGGCCTGAAAATGTGCAGAGCCTAGAGGGCTGCAGGCTGCCTTTTCCCTGGTTACTTTCACCATGCCGATCTGATTTCCCACCCACCCTGGGCCCTACCTCCTTCCTGCTTCCCCAGGCTGACCCTTTTGTTTGCTTCCTCCCCTCCCTTCCCTTTTCATTTTCTTTGATTTCCATTTAAGGGGTGGTTGGTGAGCAATTGCTTTTCATAATGTCATGGTTAATAAAAAACATGAGATTTGGAGTCAGACCGACATAGGTTAGAATATTTGCTTTACAACTTACTGCAAGGTCATGTAACTGAGGCCATGGTAACATTTTGATCCTCTCTCTTTGTATGTTTTTCTGGGAAAAGGACCCCCTCTGCCACCCAGTTGTAGGAAGGATTAAATGAAGTGATGTACAATAGCACGAAGTCCCATTTTGGGGATATAGTAAGAGCTCGACAATGGTGCCCACCGTTCTTTCTTATTCCCTGTATCTCTTTACTCCTGGCGTAATCTTCTCTATTCTTATAGTTTCTAAAACTGGCTAAGCCTCTCCTAGCTTTAGGGCCTTGGAGAATGCCATAATGCCATTCTCTTAACCCTGAGAGAGCTTTTTTCTTTTTTGCTTAACTGGACCTCTTAACAATCCTCAAGTCTATGTATAACCATCACTGCCCCAAGGTGCCCCATGTGCCCCACTAATCTCAGGTATTATCTACATCTCTTTTCTTCTCTTACCACTCTTCGCTTTCAAAGGACTAATGATCATTTTAAGTTATTCAAATTGTTCACTTTTGTTTCTCCTTCACTGGGCTGTCAGTTTCAGGAAGGCATTGCATCCTCACTGCCTAGGAAGGATAGCGACTGACACATACATAGTTGGTTCTAATTAACAGTTGGATATATGGTTTTTTAATTGCGTACAATCTTCCCCCTATGCTCAGAAAACAATTATCTTCTTCACTTCCACTTTCCTCCCTCCAAAACTGAGAAATCTCTGCTTCAAACACTGGAAGACAGCACACATAGTTTGGTCTAACAAACCTTTTCCTACATAAGTCATCCAGGGATTCGCAGTGGGATCATGATTGGCCGAGCAACTATTTGCTGTGGGGGGACATCCCATGCCTTGTAGGATGTTTAATGTCTCTGGTTCTTAAACGCTGGTAAAAACTTCTTCCAAACCACTGGGAGTTTCCAAAACACAGCAACACATTTCCAAATGCCCGGAGAGGGTGGTACAACCCTAGTGAAAATGACAAACCTTTTTAAACTTGGGTAGTTTATGAGTGTTAAAAGCACTCAAGAAGAGGTAATTTTCTAAGACTCTGAAGTCAGGTCAACTTTCACCTGCTTCTGGTCCCAGTACCCTGTTTTTTAAGGCTGCTGATATTCAAAAGCAAAAAGAAATGGAGGAAATGTGTTTATATGTATATGTTAATGTTAAGAATCAGGTTAAGAACTACTGCCAAAATAAATCTTGATACATGTTTCTTATTTCCTTTTGCAGGGAAGATAAACTCTTTCAATGAATCACCAAAGGTAGAAGAGGATGAAAGTGTTATAAGGACTTTCTGGCAGTGGGCTCAGATTATAATGAGAGAGAGATAGATCTTAGTTTCACTCTTTCCAAAGAGAATCAAAATGTAAAGCCCACAGCACGTACATCTAACAGAGTTGAATTCTGAGAGGACTCCTCAGGGCATTGGGAAAAGAGCCCATAAACTTTATATTATCATATTGTCCTGAGCAATCAGAAATGGGGATGGACCAACAGATATTTTCAGTGCTATTGATCACTATTTAGTTTATTATGGCTATCTGTGATTGTAACACATATATTCATTGGTGTGAGACATTCTATTGATGAGAAAACAATTAAGAAACATTCTTTGTCCCCTGATGAGCTCACAAAGCTATAAATAGTGTGGCCTAGTGGGCAGCCACCCAAGCCTTGGTAATATCCTAGATACTGGTTATCTTGATCTGGTTTGGATGGAGGCTTTTGTGCCTGTGTTAAATGGAAGCAAATTAGGTCCATTATCTTCAGAAAGTAATTAGCAAGGAAAGCTGAGTCTAGCATGTATTCATTTACATTTTCATTAATACATTTTTAAAAATACTGTTTGCTACCTTTACTGTGGAGAAACTGTTCACAGAGCAAGGCAGTTTAGAATTTGGAGTTTGAAAACTCAGAATCTATTTTCTGCTTTTCTCCTAATAGCTGTATAACTTCAGGCAAATTACTCGACCTTTCTAATTCTCAGATTCTTCATCTGTAAAACGGAGATAACAGCACTCTATTTCCTCATTCAGCTATTGTGGGGATTAAATGAGCAAATAATTTGTAAAGCAATTTAGCACAGTGGTCTGGCACACATTGAATCATAATTAACAAATGCTAACTCACTTCTGCAGGACATACTTTTCTTTTTTCTACTCCACAGTGGCATAAGGATGGGGGTGGAGAGAAGGTAGAATGGTAGGAAAGACCAATGGGAATTCAGAGGAGAGATTTACAAATTTTGAGCTGGAAGGTGACTTAGTTTTGCAACATCTTCCGGACTCCCTGTGCATGTTAAGATCTTCCTCTTTGGAAACAGACTGCACTTCCTTGCCCTGTGAGATAACAGGGGATGAGTGACTTGCCTTATTAACAAGCATGGATAATAGCACCTCTGAGGCAAGAGACAGTCAGGAAGGAGGAAACTCCAGAGGTGCCCTAGGGCTAAAATAAAGAACAATTGATAAAGGGCAGAAACCCTGTTCTAAGACTGGTAGTTCCTGCTTTCTGGAAAAGCACTGAATCCTAGTGAATCAGGAATGCACCTGTGCAGAAGATGCTACCTGACCCCTGCTTCATTATAATAAATTAGCAGCGTGGGCCCCCCCTTCCTGGTGGACAATCAAGGAAATCATGGGAGACCCCATGTGCAGTAACTTTAAAATAATATAACTACTTGTATACGCACAATAAAAGCCCACCAAAACTAGCCAGGAGCAACCCGCCCCTAAAGAATAAAAGCTCTCTAGCCCCTGAGTTCAGGCCTGTTAGGTTCTGCTCAGCTGTGCTTTGCTTGGAGTTGGCCTGCTCCCATGGTCTGTGTGGCTTAATAAATCTGTTTTCTCTTGCTTTCTGTTATAAACTCTGTGTGTTCGGTTCAATTTTTTGTCTGCGATCACCAAAAACCTGGTCACCTGTGCCCACCTGTGACACCTCCTCTGCTATAACCCCAGGTCAGTGCTACTCAAAGGGTTGTGTAGCAATTTTGTTACTGGAACTTGGGTCGAGGTAAGTATAGCACTGAGGTCAGCATTTGAAACCTGACAGAGTAGTTTTATGTCAAATGAATCTAATAATAAATAGAAATGTATATTTTTGTATGTTTAGTTCCCCCAACTAGCAATTTATTTTTTTAAAAATAACTTTTTACTTTAGTAATTCACTTTAATTTTAATTTAAGAAACTATATACCTGCAATGGTTGAAAATTTTAAAAATTGGTCTTTCACCACCAGGTTTGAGAAGCACTCACTACTCTAGAAAATAAACCAAACTTTTCTTTTGAAGAAAGTTATCATTCTAATTATTAAAGTTCTTAAAGACTGACATTTGAAATTCTTCAGTTTGTACCTTTTTCCCTAAGAAGAGTCCAAACTAATAATTTAAAAACAATTCTGGAATGACTGTTGTGCATAATATTAAGCTTTTATAAATATTAGAAAGAATTTTGAAGAATTTACTTAAATATAGAAAAAATTAAGACACAAGAAAGGTGAGGCAATTTTTAAATCCATCTTGTAAAACATAACACAAATCTTTATGAAGTAAGGTTGATATATATTGATATGGAGTGAGGCCCAAGATGTATTAGGTGAAAAAAAAAACCCTTATAATACTGTACTTGTAATATGATGTTGTATTTTAAACAAAAAGATTATATGCATGGAAAAAATCTGAAGTAATATACAATAAATTAATTGTTATATCTGGTAACATTTGGCTTATAGGGCATGATTATGGTTTTATTTTATATATTTGTCATGTGTTTGCATTTAAAATTTTTAACAGTATATTTTGTAATAAAAAAGGAAATTTACATGTTGAATAATTTATCTCTGTCACTTTTTGGTTTTTAATAAACATAACAATAAAGTGATCAAGGGATGTTTTTTATACAGCAGGCCCACTCTGCTTTCATCTCTACATCTTTTTTTTCTGCATTTGGGAGCCAGATTATATTTGTTCTTTAAAGGCACATTTGCAATTCTGAGCATACCATTTCTTGAATGAGAAAATTTATTCCCTTGTGAGGTATTTGCTCAGAAATACTAAGATCTCCCTACATTTCATTTCCAATTCCCTTTCCCCCGATGCAGGATAAAAAGATGTCAGGTGAAATGTTTTCCTGAATTTATAAGTCCTGTTTGCTAGTGAGCAAAACTAGGATAAATTACATGTTTAAAAAAACCCCAACATTTGCAAGATTAGAAAGCCTAAAAATTCACATTAGTGAGGCAATAAACTACTGTATTCCATCAATTTTAAGACAAGTTATTGTAAGATACAGCATTATTTTATGCATCACTAAGAAAGAATACTACCAAGTCAACTAGAATGTTCTATCAAACAAAAGATCACCCTGATTTCAGATAAGAAATATATAACACTTGCATCTTGAAAACAATAACACATGGTAATGCTATATAAAAGAATCTGCAATGTTGTCCAACATGATTACTTGAAGTATAGCACCTTAAACTGCTTTGCATGAACCCTGAACATAAATGGAGGAATACATAAACATTTTCAGTAGCACACTTTTAGTTTATTGACCTACTTAAAAAAAAAGGTCTTAAAAAGTGAGAACAGTAAAAGAATATGCAGAAGAGCATTTCTGTTTCTAGAAGGCTAAACAAATACGCAAAGGAATTGTTATTATTTTTTCGCATGTCCTTTTTTTGTTCCAAATTTTTTCCCCAAACTTCATTTTAATGATACAAATGACTAAGGACCAGTTTAACAAATCAACTTTATGTATATATTATGTGCTTTGGAATAGCGATAGAAAATGTTCCAAAACAGTTGTTCAGAAACTTCTCGAGTCACAAAAAGAACAAGAAACCTGTATAAAAGGGGTAAAGGAGCACCTTTTATGGAATTTTCAAGCAGAGTAAAGATGACAAAAAAGATCTGGAAGATGGAAATATTTGTTTAACAAAACCTCAACAATGAACTATAGCTAATTAGTTCTTCCACAGAAAGTATGAGGTAGTTTTAGCCTCATAATTAGATCTACTGCAGCTTGGAGGGTTTTTTTTTTTTTTCCTTGTTACCAACTAATCTTGCTTTTGTCACTTGGTGACTTAAAACTACCTGTGGAATCTCGATAATATGCTTATTTTTCTAACAGTCACCATTTTAAGGCACACAATTCATTTAAAATGATGTCGGGTTTTTTTCCTTGACTTTGTTTTGGGTTCTTTCCATAACACCTTAAAATACTTTTTCAAATTCTTGATTAGAGAATTTCCATATCAAGTTTGCCATTTCAAATGACAGCCAAGTTGGAGAGTTAACAGCCTGAATAATAGCTCGTCATACCAATGGTATAGAAAGAAAAAAGGAGCTCAATGATATTGTACCTCAGAAAATTCTCCAAGCAGTTTGTCAGTTATTCAGTGGGCTGCTTCATTTTCCCCAATCTGCTACCATAAAGTTTTATTACAGGATGCTATGGCAATAAGTCTTTCTAGAACCCATTGTATGGTGCTTATGAAAACCATCACTCTTTATAAAATCCTAAAAACATTTATACCCATTCAGAATTTTATAAAAATCCAGCTTCTCTTCAAGTAATTTTCCAATACTGTCTCAGTTCATGATGGTGTAGAAGCAGTGTCATTCTTTGTCAGCTCTCAAATCCAAATTTTCTGATGGTGAGTAATGACTACGGAGCTCTGGCTTCCCTTCTGTCTTCATTCTGAATTGTGCTCTGAAATTTCCCATCTTTCTTTTTTCTTGGAGATCCTGAAAGCACTTTTCACAGTTTCAAGGTTTGCCTTCAACGTTTATTCCTTAAAAAGTGCTTGCTATTGATAGAGATTACATCCTCCCTTGGCAATGGTTCAGCATGTGGTCTGACCTTTTGCTCTGCTAGGTTAGCGTCTGGACTTTGAAAGGCAGGTTCTCTTGCAGGGGCTTTGTGCAGCTTAGTGTGGGATTCACTTCTGGGGCAATGTGAGTCCTCGCTTCAACCTCTGATGCTGTCTTTAGGTTTCTAAAGCCAAATGGCCTTCTGGGAAGACAAACTAATTCTGCAAGGCACACTAGTGTGAGAACGCAGTGCTTGGTCAAGAGGTCCAGCTGCAGTTTCAGACTAATGTTCCAGGCTTTGAATCTTCATGCCAAAAGAGCCTCTGCTCACTATTTTCCAGGCTGTCTGGTTCCAACTGGTTTCCATCTGTACTGTCCAGTTGACTGGTCTCTGTGTATTGTCTATTAAAGGAAACCAGAAAGTTACTACCTGTGGTCATTTGTTCCCAGTGTACAAAATTACTACACTCAAAAGAAGTTAGTAGGAAACACTGTTAAGAAAATTATCCAAAACTTGGAAATAAGGCAAAGGATGACTGTAGTTCTTTCAATATCATCCTGGGGCATTGTCTAACAGGCTCATACAGGAGTATTTGATTCTCTAACTTACATTTACCATTGATTAGGACCCCGATTATGTTAAGTTAGATGTTAATTTAAGAGGTTTTGTTTTTTTTTTTTTTGGTCTGGAAGAATACAAATAATTTTTGTCTAGTAAGAGAGATTATGGGTATAGTTGTATTGCCCAGTAGGACACAAACTGGTTTAGTATCCAAATCTAGTAATCTGGCATTTTCTCTTGTAGTGTGTTGAATACATTCCCTCAAATTCTCTTGGAACAGCTTTCCCATTCTGTTAGTTCTGTCATTAATGAGTTATTGTATTTTACCGTGTATAATGTGCGTTTTTTTGCCCAGGTTTTTGAGGGAAATATAAGGATGCACATTATACATGGTTATAATGATTACATACCATGGGTATAATAATCCTGTGTATAATGTGCACAAAATCATGGGTGTACAATATACACAGCAAAATACGGTAAATAAATCTTTGACACATTTCCATTTTCCATGTATGTGAGAGTCATAGTTTTAACTTCTTAAAAGGTATTTTTGATAGCCATATTTTAATTATTCTTCTAATCAAAGGAACATACCAGATATTTTCTCACGGACGAAGGAATATATTAAGAGGGATGTGGGGGCACCTTGGGACATATTTTAGATCCCTAGGGTTTATGGGTCAAGGGTAAATTGGAAGCAGCATCATACATGAAAATTGTAGATGTATTTAGATGGTATATCCAAATAGGAACATCTTATTACACAAAACATTCCAATAAGCAAAACCTCATTCTTGCAGTAGCAGGTTAGAATAGATTAGGTAGTTAGTACATTTCCTTTTATCTTAAATTTCAGCGCCTTTTAGTAAGGGTAATAAAAAGCCTTTGGAAGAAGAGATTTGGAAATAACTATGTGAATCCAGGTATTTAGTGTTTTCATCTGATATAAAAACAAAGTCAGATTTCCATAACTTCACACATCAGCCAGAGCAAGCAGAACTCCTCCTATGCAAGAAGCAACACACAGGTTTGAGCAACTGTACTTACTACAGCTGGCTACACCTAGCAAAAGAGAATTTAAAACTGATCTCATTTCTGGAGACACAACCGTTCTCTGGGACAGAAGCCCTTGGTTTTGTCTAGTGATAGGTAGGGTGAAATAAAGAAGAAGAAGGGAAATGGAAAACAGGGAGTGAAAGAAAAAAGTTATTTGAAAATGCAATTTGTGGCAGTAGAGCCACATATTATGTATGCTATATACTAGGTAGCACAACAGACTTTTAACATTTCTAATTCTGGAAACTTAATATTGTTGACAATTATACCACATCATACTAAGAAAACAAATTTTGGTTAAAGTGTGTAGCTTTCTGTAGTAGTAAGACCCGGACACTTTGGGGAAAAATATCTTTATATAATATGCACTTCATTTGTATTGATGTAATCACTGATCTATTTCTAAGCACTTCAAATCTTTTACCTGAGATGATCTGAAGTTTTTTATCTTTATCCTGAAACCCAATTTCTCTTATTTTAAAAATTATGTTTTCATCAATAATAACATGCAACTTTGGGGCAAAATTTCTAAAGCTTATGATTGCTATTATACTTGCCTTGTTAATAAGCCAAGTTAAATTGATCAAACTATATCATCATTTAAAAATACTCCTAAATAGACATATGAATGAAAATAAGCACTCCCATAACTCTGTGGATGGGATGATAAATTGGCAAATTTTCTGGAAAACAAGAGATTAAAAATTATACTTTTCTGTTTAATCCTTAAAGTCTACTAATTGGAACATATCTTAGCAAAATAATCTGGAATTCAGGCAAATATTTTATACAAAGATGTTATTAATAGCATCATTTCTTACAATAAAAAAATGAACATCCTAAAACCATTCAAATTCAAAAATATGGGTGACTGCTAAATAAAGTATGGTGTATTTATTAATGGAATATCATATTGGTCACATAAAAGAGGTTTAAAGAGCTTCTATAAATATGGGAACATATTTATAATATTAAATAAAAAACTGGAATGTAGAATTTCATATATGATAACAAATATATAATTGTAGATATCATTATGATCATGGTAAAAATGGATACAGAAAAATGAGGGGAATGTGCCAAAATGTTAATAGCTGCTATCTCTAGATGGTGGAATTATAGGTAAATTATTTCCTACTTATTTATCTTTATTATTTTCTTAATTTTACACAATAAGCTCATATTATGTGCATGTGCACACACAGACAGTATGGATCTTTAAATAGTTTTAATTTCCTGTACATTGTGCCCCTTGGACATCAGACTACCCTATCAATCCATCTTAGGCTGGCTGAAGTAGGTGCATAGACTCACTAAAAAGAGATGTTCCCTAAAAATGTGTAGCACTTCATGAATCTAGTGAGAGTGGTGTTAAGGATACTACTGGAACTGTCTTATACACTGAATGCTTTATATCATTTCTAACTGAGTTAAGAAAAAAGGAAAGTAAAATTATATAAACATTTAAACTATTTGCACATGTATTATACAAAATAATTAGAACTGAACTGAAAAAATTCAGCACTAATTTTGAGCTAAAATCATTCTGGTTCTTGCTCCTAACTCATTCTCAACCATCATTTGCAGAAATCCAAACTATGCTACCTCCTCTGAAGTACATTTTCATTAACATTCTATTTTGAGTATACTCTTTGTTGAGTTAAGACAATTGGACTAATATTTCAAGCCAAGAAAAACTCTTGCTGAATATGGAGAAGAAAAATAAGGCTTTGGGGTGTGCATATGTCCAATTTGCTTATGACTGAGTGCTTTAATAAGAAACTAACCTCTCAAATTCAGTAGTATAAAGACCTTTATAATTAGAATCTGTGTAAGTTGCCTGTGCCTGAAGTATCTGATTTAAAGAAAGCAAAATTAATTTTCTAAATCCCTCCAGGAAATGTTCCACTTCTTGCCACCATGGGTGTGGATTATATGCTGTGAGAAAGTGACAAGGACAAATGACCTCTTCAAACTTAATTTTGGTATAATATGAAGAACTGAAAAATATGTAATTCAGACTTTGCAATCTTTTTACAAATCACATTTGAACAAACTCTTCTCATATATTTCCTCTAAATGTTTACAAAGAATTACTTTTTACAAATAGGACAGCTGGCTGTGTCTGTTGCTTCTTAATAAACACAGGGTCAGACACAAAAAGGCAGCAAATGTTTGAAATCCAGCCTACCAACTGTCTATAAGGAATCTTGCTATGAACAGCCTTTTTCTGGAGCAGAGATATTTTTCCTGCAAGGTTCCAGGAGAGTCTAAATAGATAAATCAATTATATAGCTTTAAATACTGCAATTATTGGTACAAACAAAACCTTCAGGCACAAAATTTAATGTACAGAACTCTAAGAACAGGGTCACATTTGAATGAGCTAGATTTGGGGGTCAACAAAGTTTCCTTAAAGGGCCTGATATGAGTGTATTTCGTTGGCCATGTGGTCTCTGTCACAACTACTCTGCCCTGCCCTCTTAGTGCAAAAACAGCCATAGATAACATGAAATGAATGAGCATGGCTGTTTTCCAATAAAACTTTATTTACAAAAAACAGATGGCAGCTGTTTTTTACCCATAGGCTAGGGTTGCCAACCCTTGAACTAGATTATTTAGCATTCATAAAATAAAATAGGATTCCTGGATTCTTTTGACCAGGAACAGGCTACTAGAATTTTTGAGCACTGCTCCCTCACCTGCCTGGAGAGGACAAAGGATTATAGATGTTGCCGTAGCAGCTGGTGTAAGAAGGATGTGCCAGGGTCTCGTATTCAGAAAACCCAACTGTTATCTGGGTCCTCCAGTTCCCAGAAGCATTTGTAGAAGACACTAGAAAAAAATGGAAAAATAGAAAAATTAGTGGTAATATTTAAAGTGAAAAATTTTTAGGTGATTTACATGTACCTTATAATCAGCTGTGTGCAAAATAGAGATTAAGAGCCAATATTTGTAATCAACAAAGTTCCTATTCTAGCTTGGTCACTTACTGGCCATGTGACCTTGGGCAAATAGCTTATCTTTTTTAAACCTCAGTTTCTTCATCTGAAAAGTGGGGATAACAATATAAATATATTTTTATAGAGATAATATCAGGATTAAATAAGGTTATGTATGAAAATATTTAGCACGGTTCCTAGCACAGAGTAGACTCAATAAATGATAACTATCAATATTATTATTGGGGATAAGGTTAATTAAAAGACATTCTATTTAAAAAAACCCCAAAAACAAGCCAGAAAAGCCCCCTTGTATATTGAGAGAATCCTCCCATTTGGGCTTATGTTGGCTGGTGCATAAGGCTTCAGTTGTCTAGGTAAGGTGATGACTGAGTCTCTTGGGGGCCTTTTGAGGAAGCATTCTGTAAACTGAGTTGTTGAGACTTGACTGTTCCCCAGCCAAAGACAAACTGAACACTAGCAGAATCAAGGCTTTTTTTTTTTTTTTTCTTTTATGAAAAGGTGGAGATGTGGAGAAGGTAACTGGTAAAGGAAGGATTTCAGGAAGAATAACTTTAGTTCTCCTGGGGGACTTGTCTGAAGAAGACAAGGAAATAATCTGGGAGCAAAACCCAGTGGGTGCCTCATAACTGGGTGTTTGTTGTCCTCTCTCTAAAACCAGTCCTCTTCCACACTTAGGCTGTACAAGTGACCACAGTGCCATCTGGTCATCTAAGACTCAAATAACCATCACTACTAATGGGTCCTTCCAGCTGTCCTCCATTTCTGTTCCTGGCAGCTAATTCCTTCCTCTTTTCTCTCATATCTACAAAGCACTTATGACCTGTGTGGGACAAACACATTTCAGAACCCTGGATACCACCTGGTTTTGACACAAAGATGTAACAGTCTCACTTCCAGCTTCAAGAATGTTTCACTGGTATCAGTTGGCACTGTGAGGCTTGATAGTTAAGATGTCAGAGCTGGGATTGAATTCTCACTCTACCATTTACTAGCTTTGGGGCTTGGGTAGGCTCATTTATACTCTCCTAGCCAGAATTGCCTCAGCTGCACAATTAGGACAATAATAATAAACATAAAAACACTTGCCTATAGAACTGTTGCATACATTAAATGGGACAGTACAGGTAAAGTGTTGAGCACGCTGCATGGCACATGGTAAAATACCAATAAATGGAGGCTGTCATTACTACTAAAACTGAGTCACTGAGAGCCTTTAGGTGGCTGGAAGGAAATACAAAACCCCTAACTAGCGTGGCAAATAATCAGGAACTTATCTCTGAATGAGAATGAGGCATGCCTGTTATAATACATTTCAGTAGCTATAAAATATAGACAGGAACAAGGAAGTTTTCAAAAGCAACTTTGGGAGAACTGATTCCATATCTCTCATCCCTTGGAAAATGGTGCCTTTTGTTCTGTGGGGCCAAATCTTGCAGGTATCAGCAAGGCTCACACCGGGTCCAAATCAGGATGTGTTAACTCCGTTCTCACCTTTGCAGCAGAAATGAGCCAGCTGCTAGGAGCGTTGATGGTTCTGGGTCACACCTACTTCTCCCTGGCCTTGCTGCTTAAGGGGGCATTACCCCCATCCTGAGGACCACCCACAAGCTTCTCAGCCCTCTTTAGTCCTTTCTTTGCAGCACTCGGCCCAGGTTTGGGTTCTGTCAGTTTCTCATGAGATGCCTTGAATTTTAGGGGGAGGAAAGGTATTTTCTAGATTGAAGCCATAAGTAACAAGATATAATTACAGGAGACTTTCCTACGTTAGGTGTGGCAATAGACGGGAAAGTATTAGTCGAAGTCCAAAGTCCTGCACAAACAGAACTCAAACCCAAACAGAAATCTCCATGGAAATGCCTCTGGTCAACAAGCTTATGAAACTTTTAAAGGCACAGTTTTCACTGACTAATTACACCATGATTTGGGAATCCCTGTGCATGTCTCACTAAAGAGTCATGCTTGAAGGAGGGGGCAAGACTCATGCTCCCAGGTTTTCATGCTGTTCAAGAATTCATTCATTTCTTAGAAGCTTTAAAATTGCTTAATTTTCATACATTCTTCTGGCTGCTAACTAAAGCGTGAGCTCCTCAAGGCACAGAACTGTTTCAGCACTGGCTCCCCAGTATCCTGGATGTGCTCATTTATTACTAAATAAATTAAACCAGAGACTAACACTCTTATCACCCACTTCTCTACTTAAAATACTTGGCACAGCTGGAAGATATTCAGTAAGTTCACCAAAAGTGTCATCAGAGTTAGGGGCCAAAGGCAATGCACAAGGGGGACAGTAATACAAACTATCTTGAAAATCTCTTAAATCAACTGTAAACTGGACTATATATGATTATTGAGTTGAGTCAAGACATGCAAAATTCTTTAAACAGTGTCAGGAACAGTACTTAATAAATGCCAGCTTCCATTACAATTATGAAAAGCTGTATGCAGGTACCAGAGCACTCAAAACACACTGATCAAACTCCCAGTGGTGTACAGGGAAGGATGTATAATTGTTTTCTTTGTACCTGAAGGGTTTAGTCTGTTCTTCTAATATATCAAAACTCAATGACCTGAACACATTTAAGAGATGTGACTATCAAGACCTAGAAAAGATAAAGCATGTGAAAGCTCCTCATATGGGCAGCGTACGGAGCCAGTGCTCAATAAATGTTTGCTGGATTTCAATCTACAACTTGCTTCATCAGACCTATGTGATGGTATTCTTTGGAAAGCTGGAGGGAACCATTTTTATGTTGGCAATTTGGGTCCACCCCATGGTACCACCCTCCTGATCTTGGGTACTGGTCTCCTGATCCTTGAGGGGCATAGTTTTGGGTGGGAGGGAAACAAGGATAAATTATATCCGAGTATCAAGTGCTTCCTCAGTATTCTTACCTGAAGAGTAGGAAGATGCACGACTGCCTGGAGAACAGGGTACTTGTAGCCCAGCAAACCCTAGGCATCCCTGTGACCCCCTGTCCAAGTCAAAGCTGGTCTGTGGGCTATGCCCATGCTCCTTTTGCCCAGAGGCCCTCTGGTACCAGCCACGCAGGTGCTCTGCAACTAAGGCCCTGTGGATGTTCTTGGTGATGTGCTCGGGTGCAGCTGCCTTTCTCGGCAGCCGGAGGGTTGCATATGGGTTATGGGGCACCCGGTTTGTCTCATCTTCATGGAAGGACCTGCTGTAGTCCCTCTGGCAGTCATATCCATAGTGGGCTGAGGAGCGGTAGGAAGGATTGACACTGTACTGTCCCTCAGTGTCATTCTCATAGACATAGCTGCCACTGTAATGAAGGTCACATTCTGCATATGGCGTGTACCCGGCTATGTAGTAGCTGGAAGAAGGCTGCTCATGGCTCTTTGCATAGACGCCATTCCTCAGACTATCCCTTTGGGCAAGGTTGGGCATGCTTCCCGAATTTGAAGTGGAAACGTTCTGTTTCTTGGACCTTCTCCGGCCCCTGGCACGGGTGTCCAGGGTGTGAGCACAGTGATAGGGGCCTGTCACGGGCGTCACACAGTAGTACTCAGCGCTGGACTGGCTGGTGCAGGAGGACCCGTCATCCAAGACTTCAGTGCTGCTGCTCCTTTGGGATTTGCGGAGGGAGAAGAAGGGTCTGTCGTGGTCCATCTCAGACAGCAGGTGAGACTGGGACTCTAGGCTGCCACTCCGTTGGCGGCAGTGCTGAGAGGAATCTGGCCTGAAACAGAAGAAAGGCAAACTTGTCAAAGGGAAAGGAGGAAAGGGCGATTGGAAAAAGGAAAAAGAACAGCACATTGAAGGGTTTAATAGGACTTTTAAGGTTTTCAAAGCTGACCCGCACAACAGAACCTACTGGTTCACCTACAGTTCATTGCAATGGTCAAAACGAGAAAAGAACCAGGTTCCGTCAATTGCGTAAGCCACATCCTTTCTTTGGAATTAGGAAGATAAACTGATGATGCAAATTTGCACCTAAGTCTGAAAAAAATTCTTTGATGGGTCCTGTCTTCCAACAGGCTAGGAAAATACACGCACAGAGCCTGGACTCCGCTGGCAGAATCTGGGTGAGTCTCAGCTCTGCCATTTCCCAGGTGTGTGAGCTTGGCCAAGGTATTTAACCTGTCTGAGCCTTGCTGCCTTCCCTTAAAGTGAGGACAAACATAGTACCTAGTATTTACAATTAGGCTTGTTGTTGGGACTAAATAGTATGGTGTGTATAAAATGTTAGCAACAGTCTTCAGGAAACACTTCAAAATGTCGCTATTGTCATTATTTTCATCCTCACCATGACATACATAATAAATTGTAACATCTCTTTGGAAAAATTAAGGTACAAAAAAATCCAATATCAACTTGAACATAATATATTTTCTTTGCTGACATATGTGAAACTGTGAGTAGAAAATACAGATTCATAAAATGGTGACCTGCTGCCAAAGTCCCTTAAAATGATTACAAATGCAAGTGAAACAAAATCTTAAAGCAAAGATTAACAAAGCCCAAGTGACCGCACAAAGTGCTCTTACTCCAGGTGGCTGCTGCTGTACGCGTTTCGGGTGAGCACAGGGGTGGTAGGCATGCTTCGTCCTCCCTGGGGCCGCCTTTCCAGGGTTTTGTAAGGGCTGCTGTGTGTTGACAGCATTTCTCTGTGATGGTAAAAAGAATTCAGAAAATGATGAGTTCCCAACATCTCTAGCAAATGTGTCATAAGCTGACAGAAAGGGTGCTTGGGGAGAAACTTAGAAAGATGTCTTGGTGGTATGGGATCCTGGTATGTCCTAGGTAAGTTTTAAGGACATTCATGTGGTTTGATTCTCTGAGTCATGAATATGAAGGAAAAAATTAAAAAGTTTAAAATAAAGTGTATACTAAGTAGATTGAAATCAACTACAGCAGAGACAGCAAACCTTTTTTTTCTGTAAAGAGCCTAAGACTAAATATTTTTGGCTGTGTTTGCCAGGTGATCTGTCTCAACTACTGAACTCTGCCCTTGGAGTGTGAAGGTAGTACAGGAGATATGTAAGCGAATTAAACTTGACTCTGAATATTGAAATTAAATTTCATAATTTTCACATCACAAAATATTGCTTTTGATTTCCCCTCCAACTATCTAGAAACATAAAACCGACTGTTAGCTCATGGGCCATATAAAAATAGGTGTTAGGAAGAATCTGGCCAGTGGGCCATAGTTTGCTGGCCCCTGGTCTAGAAGGCAACATACTTAAATCCTCTATTAAATGACTTTGCTTACCTTTTTACTTATCACAAAAGCATGTCAAGTTCATTGCAAAAAAAGTTCAAAGATACAGATTTAAAAAATTTTTAAATGTCCATAACCTGATATCCTAGATGTAGCCAATGAATACTAAATATTTTCAGATACTTTTCCTAAGCATATATATGTACAAACAACAAACATGAGATCTTACTGTATGTTTTCTTTTAGAACACAGTTTTAAAAATTTAAATTATATCTAATGTTTCATGTTGCTTAATATTTGTTTATAATGTTATTTTAATGACTATGTAACTTTCCACTGTAGAGATTTACTATAATTTATTTACATAATACATTTGGGTTGTTTTCAATGTGTCACTAATACAAACAAATGCTGCAATGAGTATCCTGTATTTAATTAGTCCAACAGGAAAAATTATTATAAGTGAAATTACTGGGTCAAAGAGCAAACCCTTTTAAAACTATAATGGATGTCGGCATAGTAATTTTTAAGATAACGATTCTTAGTAATAATTCTTCCTTTTGCTGAAATAGCTTTCTTCCTTTTGCTGAAATAGCTTTGTTTTTCCTATATAATAAATACAGGAGTGGGTGGGCAAAGGTAGGTTTACAATAATTCATATGGAAAATAATACAATAATAAATAAATAATGATACAAAAATAAACTCTGTGTTTTGTGTATTCACAACTATTAACCTACTTTTGCCCACCTTTCTACACATGTCCAGTGTTATCTAACAGGACTTTCTTCAGGGATGGAAATGTGCTATATCTATTCCGTCCTATAGCACAGACACTAGCCACACCAGGCTATTAACACTTGAAATGGCTAGTATAACTGAGCAAATAAATTTTTAATTTTATTTACTTTTAATTATGTTGAATAGCAGAGCTCTATACACTTAGATCTCTCCTGTTTAAGGCAACAGTTCTTAAATGTCAGTTCTTAAAAGTTTGTGGAATATCTCCACAAACTAGAGATAATATGATCTTTGACAAATCAGTTATATAACCAAGGTTGATTTAATTTTCATGAGTGAAAAATTTAATCTAAATAATCTTTTATTTTGAAACCAATTTCCATCTTCATGAGTTATGGTATAACATATTGACTAAAATCATATCACAGGTTCGGGAGTAGGCTACCTAGGTTCAGATCCTAATTCTGACATTTACTGGTTGATGAACCCAAAAAGTTATGCCTGCTTTCTGGCCCTTTATGTACTCATCTCTAAATGACAATGATAGTAGCAGTACTGTCAGAATTGTTGTGAGGGTTAAATTCATTAATATACATTAAAGCACTGTGAACAGAGTCTGAACAGCTTCTCACCTGAACTGCCGGGCATCCACAAACTGTTCATTGATGGGGGATTTTCTGAAATGGATTCTCTCAATACCAAGAGACTTGGGGGGAAGAATCCTTGGAGAATGAGGTACTGAACTTGATCGCTGCCCAGCAAGTGTGAAGGTGTCACCGGCTATAAGAAGTAAATGAATGAATGAATGAATAAGTAGGTAAATAAATATTAATAAATACCATGCCAACAATCCCAAAGAAGGAATCAGAAAATCTGGTCAACAAACTGTTGTTCCAATGATAACGTTTTTAGAGACACGTAACTTTTGAAAAATTATTTTTATATTTTATACACTATAAAAAGGAAGTTGCTGAATAGTCTTGTGGGGTCTAATCCAACTTTTGCCAAATAGGTGCCACTCTGAGCAAAGAAATTACTTAGGTGGTACGGGTGATACTATAGTTTTTCAGAAGTTATATTACAGAAAAACCCCAGTGCATACAGGGCCAAGAGGAAGTTGTTCACCTTTACTTTTTGAAGTTCTTAGGCCTCTTTGGCTGACCAAAGGCTCGTCTAGTCATTGAAAAGTGATGAAACTGATTTACGCTGAGAGATTGGAGACCTGCTTTGTCTCACACTAATATTTGTATTTTCAAAGAGAAATAGCAAGTATGACCAAACCTCAACCCAAAGGAAGAATTCTGAGATGGTGGCATTTCATGCACCATAGAACTTGGGGAAAGATAAAGCAGTATGGGTCAGAGGCTCTTCCAAATTGCTGAAATCCCATCAGAAAGAGAGTCATGCCTCTGCTTCGGCACAGGGGATTACAAGGAAACACTCTATCACTTGAAAAGAAATCCATTCCATCATGAAATGGAAACAAACACAGGAAATCACAATATTGTGTTCTTGCACAACATAACATATAGACACAACGACACAACATTGTGTACAACATTGTGTCTATGAAGCTGACATAGTGACATGTAACCTAATTTTTAAAATGTGTATTTCTTCCTAAGGAAAATAAACTAAACTCCCAGTTATTCAAATACAGTCTACACTATAATTTCCTGGTGTGATGTTAGATGCCAAATATACAAAATGTCACCACTGGGAAAGTCTGGGTGAAGGAATCTGTATTATTTATGCAGGTGTATAATTACTTCAATAAAAATTTTAAAAAAACCTTACAAAGTCTCCTTATTCCCAGAGTCATGACATTTGTACGTTATTTAGTGCTGACCTGTGCAGAAGTTCATTGTAACCCCCCTTTCCCAGCCTTTCTGCATGACTATAAGTTGATTCTGCTGTTCCCTGAAGAGTAATAAATAGCCTTCGGTTAACTAAAAAATTATCTTACTATTTCAGAATATGTAATATTTAAACCAAAAAAGGGGAGTTACTTACTATCGTCACCAGTGGTAGTGTCAGACAAGGAGCTGCTCTCTGAGGGGATTATGTCTTCTGTGAATAACAATGAATGCCTTTAGTATAATTGTGCATTTACACACCTATTGTGAGTTTAATAAAGCAATTCTTAGTCGAGTGTATTTTAGATAAATGTAACTACAGTACATTAAGATTAATTATTATAAGAGAGCAACCATTTACTACTGAAGATGTAAACATCTCACATATTGTATAAATATTACATTGGATTATTTCTCAAATGGAATAGACTTCAAGGGAGATTTTGTTTTCAACTAGTTTTCAGTATAGCTTGTACATGGGATGAAAACTTTACTCTATATATTGAGGGTTTATAACCCACAAACTGGAAAGAAAAATCATGCCATTCATGTCATAAGTACTAACTGTTACATAATATACTAGGTCTGTCCAGAAAATATCCAACCATGTAATGTGAAAGATAGAGACATTTATTGAAGAAGATAGAAGATAGAAGAAACATTGTACACAGGACAATGATGCCTCAGTCCCCTTCAAAGTACGCATGTTGGGACGTTACACAGTTCTCCCAGTTGCCATCAGCTGCCCTCTTGTATTTTCCTGAATCTCACCGGAAGCCTGAAATCTCTACCCTTTCAAAGGTGATTTTAGTTTTGGGAAAAGCCAGGAGTCACAGGGTGACAAATATGGGCTGTAGGGGGGCTGTGTCACCTGGGCAATTTGATGTTTCACCAAAAGCCTCTGCACGAGACATGATGTGTGAGGGGGTGAGTTGTCATGATGAAGCTGACAATCAGCAGCTGCCCATAGCTGTGGCCTTCTGAATCATTCAAATAGTTTCCATGGAGGAATGCTGATGCTTAAATCAAAATGTGATGCAGATTTGTTTCTCTACTCAGTCATTTTGAACGCAATGGCCGCACAGCACACATACTCACTCAATGGCATCTACCACCCACGCTTACTGGTACAGTGAAGTTGTCATTGTTCACAAATGCACATTCCAGTCTACTCTCCTGCCTATCAAGCTACATCATGTCGCAAATTGTCTTGTTATATTAACAATAGCTGGACTTTTCCCAGACAGACCTCATATAAATGAACACTCATTTGAGAATCTATTGGTATTACTTATTTTTAGAAACCTTTCCTGAAGAACAGGGCCTTTACTTAATAGGGTGTGGACTCTTTGTGGTATATAAGCTTTTAAGTTAGACCAGGGTCTCTCAGCAGTGTTTGGCACTACTGACATTTTGGGCTGACTGTATATTCTTGTCAGGGGGAGCTGCCCTTTGCTTTGTAGAATCTCCAGCTCCCACTTCTGGATGTCCACAGCACCCTCACCTTCAGTTTGACAATCAAAAATACCTCAGACATTGCCAAATGTTCCCTGGGGGCCAAAATTGCTCTGGTTGAGAACCTCTGAATTAGACAGACCTGGGTTCAAATCTTGGTAAGTTACTTAATCTCTCTGAATACTATTTGGCTCAATTTTAAAGTAGGATTAAGAACAGGACGTGGTGAGTTGTCCTGAGGTGACTATTAAATGAAATAATGGATGTAAAGACTTTAGCCCAGCTCGTTGCAGAGGACAAATAGTCAATAAACATTAACTGTACTAACTATTTTGTTAGCTAGATAGAGTGTTCTGGCAGAAGAACTCTGGTGGTTGGACATGCCCACAGTGCTCTCAGTATTAGTTGGTCTGCTTTGGCAAACATTCCTTACTTGGTGTCAAGTATTGGCAAGATTACAGGCAAATACGACCCTCCAATGTGAGCTTCAAAGCCATTGTGAAGGGAATCTACCCCATCTAATCTCAAATATTAACCTCTATCAGAGTCAAGCAGACTATCTCTTAACTGGACACAGAGTGGAGCTTGAAGGTAAGATGCCAGTATAGTCAGCTGTAAGGCATTCTTAAAAAACATCTATCCAGTGTAAATGCTCAACCATTGGCACCACCTGGTGCCCAAATAAACGTCAGTCACTGTCGAGAACAATGGAATCCTGCACAATCTGGAAAGGAATGGGCCACAGCAAATGGCTATGAAAGTTAAGTGCACTGCTAATTATCCTTCCCTGTAAGTACAGAACACAACCGCCACCAAGGCCAGCTGGATTTTGTATTCAGAGTCACAGCCATCCTAAATTCTCCAGCTGTAGTTGACTAACATCTGTGTATTGATATCTGAGCATTTGCTTTGCAAAAGTCTTATCTCTGCTTTAAAATTTTTTTTCAATCCTTACCTGAGGACATTTTTAAATTGCTTTTAGAGATAGAGGAAGGGAGAGAGAAACGTGCATGTGCACGAGAGAGAGAGAGAGAGAGAGAGAGAGAGAGAGAGAGAGAGAGAAGCATCGATTGGTTCTCTCCCGTACACCCCAGCACTGAGCAATGCTTGCACCTAGGGACCAATCCCACAACCTAGGCTTGTGCTCTGACTGGGAGTCAAACCTAAAACCCTTTGGTTATGGGACAACACTTCAACCAACTAAGCCACACTGGCCAGGGTTTATCTCTTATTCTAAAATCCTGTGCCCTAAACCTGAATATGCTTTAAACCTAGTTACCATATTTTGTCAAATCTAATATATGCGGTTATTTTATGTCCCAGTGAAAAAAAGAAAAATTTACTGCCATTCATAACTATATAAGTTCAGTATAAGAATTATCCCAATTTTACAGATGTTTAAATGTGAAAAAGAAAAAGTTGGGGAATGAAAAAAATATATAATCAGATTTCAACCAATGATCAGGGCTAAAAACCATGCTAATAAATATGTAGGGCCAATTGGACTTGAACTCTACGCAAATGAGATTTTTCAGTGTACTTTTTTTCTGAACATGAAAGTTTTAAATACATAATGTTGAGAATTCTGGAAGTACAAAAGAGTGTTAAGAAGAAAATTAGGTCACTTGAAATTCCACAACTTCTTGGGAAATATTCCCAACAAGTCTTTGTGTGGACGTATTTATATAATGTCGGGATCATGTTGTTGTTACAATTTCATATCCTGCCTTTTTGCATTTTATGTTATATCATGAACACTTGCTTGTATCTTTAAATGGTCTCCATAGAATTACATGATAGTAATTGTAAGAACTCTTTTCCAGCCACATTAAGTTGAATAGCTCCTTAAAAACTATGGTCTGCATTAAAAACCTTTGCAAAACTACTGGGTAGGACCCAACTCTCTTAATATGCTGTGCTGTCAAATGACGTCAGGACAGTTAAAGGTGAACCTGTATTATGAACTAATATTGTTGTGAAAGCTCTTTTGTCCTGAAAATTAAAGTAATGCAGTAGTATAGCATTATTAAAATAGTGAGAATGTCACCAAAAACCAAGTTTACATTCTTGTAAGGCTGAAATTCCAAACCATTTTTATCCTAAGAAAGTTACTTTTAATCTTGTTCTTTCTTTTATGTCTCACAAAATCAACTGCTTTGGAAATGCTACATACCATCAAGAGTCTTGACTACGGGACTCAAAAAAACTTTGTTACTAACCTGGTAAAATTACTGTCCCCTTCTGGCTAGGTTTCTTTCCACATCTAATTCGGTATTCATTTATTGCATTTTCAATCTCCTGAAGCTTTTTCACTGCATCCGTGTATTCTTGCTTCCTTTTTTTTTTCACGGTTTTACAAAGGTCTGGCTCACTGGCAAGTTTCTTTGCAGCTTCAACCAGCTTTTGCTGTATCAGGAAATTGCTCTCCAGCTCTTGCAAAGTGGGATCCTGCATTTATACAATGATACTGTTTTATTTCTATGGCCACATACAGTCATTCTCACATTCACTGGGTAATAAACTTGTGAATTCTCAAATCAGATGCCCTTTAGGAATAAAATCTTCCTAAGTTTTACTACCTGGGTATCCTCAAACATTTCCCTAAAAGACAAGACCTCCCTCACCCATTTACATAAACTTCTGATTCTCTTCCCTTTGCAAAAGGAATGGCCTTTCATTCATTCAGTTAGTTGGGTACAGATCATGTATTTCAAGAAGGGATTCTTAACCCAAGATTCATAGATGTGGAATGTTGTGTTCACATGCATAGTGTTAGAGACAGATAAATTTGGGTTTGATTCTTCTTTTTGGTGGTTCCTGGCTGCATGACCCTAGACACACTGCTTAATTTTTTAATAATTCAGTTATTTGTAAAATAGAGATAACATGTACTTTATATAAGCTTATGTGTATTTCTTAGTTCAGAGCTGAATATACTGTGAGCACTCAATAAATAGCAAAGCACACTCTTATTGATGGAAATTGCTATAATTTCAGGATGGCTAAATTTCTGTAAGAAACAGTAGTAAGGTCACACTGATAACATGAGATGAGAAAGGACATTCTATATTGTCTAACAAATCTTTTTACTTTATTGTACTCAAATGCTGTACATGTATTATCTCACTGAATACTCCTTGTATCCTCAGAGGGAAAAACAATCATTGCATCTGCTTTTTTAAAGATAAGGGAACTGAGACCTGAGAACTAAGACTTCAAAGAGGGAAAAGTATTTGTCAAAGGTTGCTGCTTATTTTTAAGTGGAAGAGTCTAATGTCAGAATTCTTAATTCTTGTGTTTCTCAGTTTATAAACATTTGGGGTTTGTTGAATGCTCTCTATGTTTGGAAGAGTAGCCAGTGAGAAAAAATTTCAATTGAACTGTGCATAAAAGAAAGAATTCAATTGGTCTACATTATCACTTTCAACTGGTGAGATAAAACTGCACAGCACTGACTCAAAAACCAAAGGAACAAGTCAACTACATTCAATGGACAGATTTTCTGTCTTACTGTTAATGGAAACACTGGGAGCTGGTGCTCATACCTCTTCACTGGGCAGCAAGTTGTCATCTAATTTGAATGTGGTGCCTACACGCCTTCTGACCTGAGGAGGTTTCTCACCTATGTTCAGTGGGTATTCCTTTGGCATTTTGCCTGTGAGCTCCTGTAGCACAAAACAGAATTAGAGGGGATGATGGACTATGGCTGGAGTTGTCAGACACAATTTGAGGAGCACCCCCCAACACAAAGCAGAAGACACTCACGGCCTCCCGCAAGCAGATCTTCTTAAGCTCCTCAACTTTTTTCAGGAGTTTTTCTTGCAACAGCTTTTCCTTCTTCTTGAGTTCAAGGATTTTCTCTCTCTTTTGTTCCTCACTACCTTCTGAGTCTTGGGAACCTGGAGAATTGGAAAGGGGGGTCAGGGAAGGTTTATACAAGGAAAGTTTCCTTCCTTTTCAAAGGACAAAGGATTTTTAAGTCAAACCTGCTATTAAATAGTAGTTTATTTTTGTTTTTCCTTGTTTCTGAACATAATAAAAGGAAACTGGAGAACATTTTCTCATGCTTCTGGGCATCAAACATAGCCTGGTAATAAAATGTGCCTTTTGCATTTTGGCTCAGTCATTTTAGAAATAATAAAATGCTTAATGTTTTAGACACACCCAAGGAAAACATTTAATTTTTCAGAGCAGGTGAGAAGGTTAGATGTTCCTTGAGGTACTTGATTAGAATGTTCTTTTAGAAAGCAAGCAAGCAGGGCAAAGGAATGTTCTGTGCTTCAGATTCACAAGTTGACAATGGGATTTCAATGGGAATATTAATTTTAGTGAAGTTATGAGTACTTAGTGATAAAAAATTCCTGAATTCTGCATAAGAAGGGATTGGGGGGTCAATCACTGTGGGACTGGGGTGAGGTGGGTATTCAAAGCCTTTAGTTACATTTAACTTTGTATGAAATGGAGAATTAGACAACTGTATCAAAAACTAAATATTGGGGGGAATAAGAAGCTGATGGAACTTATAAGGAGAAAATGTCTTTCTAAGCCACCCCTAGGTACTCACTATCTTTGTACATACTGTTACTTATGCAACCTGACTATTTATAACTTTATACTTTTTGAAAGTATAAAGTATAATAAGTTTAAAAATTTTATTCAAAACTGCTGCATAGTGTAATTTTAACAGGCTTATTTATTTGTTAAAAGATGCATTTAAAATTGGTCTACAACTATAACAAAAAAAGTGAAATAAAATAAAGATTGCTTATATTTTCCTTAATCCCAGAAGTTACCTGAGGAAATTAAGCTGCCATTGCTGGCCATAATGAACTGACTTTTTGCCTCCAGAGTGACCAGTTTGGAGGTCCTTGGTGTTCCTGTTTCTGTCAAATCCATTGCGATATCATCTAAACTTCTGGCTGAAGGAATTTTTGCCTAAAAGATATAAAACATTGTAATGGAATTCACTTAATTAAACCTATTTCAAGTTAATATGCTGAGTAAGTTATGATAGAATAAAAATGTCAACATGGAGGACAATTCAGAATTTTTATACATATACTAAAATGACACTCTTCAGGAAAAAAAAAGATACTGAAGCTTTGTAGCTGAAACATTAATAGCAATGCACTATTCTTTCTTATGGTATAGTTCAATCAATAGCTTTAAAATGTCACCAGGGTACATAGACGTACGTGCCAAAAAGCTGTCAAATCTGACAATGTTCAAATCAGGTTATATGAGTATATAGCTCATTTTTTAAATATATGACAAATTAAAACAGTAGTAAGGTAAAAAAACAACTAAGAGAGCAAAAACCCATGTGCTTGCATCTTTTCTGAGAATACTTATCTTTTGAACACAAAGCAAATGAGTTTCTGATAGAACCTCTTCTAGTCACTTACTTTGCTTTGCTTCCGGTCCAGGTAAAACTGATGCTGACTAATTGCCATTACCCAGATGGACTTGATGAGAGAAGAACTTGCATACCAGGTTTGCACAAAAAGGCCACTTTGCCCAAAGGTTCTTTTTGACACCGAAATCCTGAAAGATTAAGAAATGCATTCAAATTATTTGTCTCTGGCCGAGCACAGCACAAAATATATCCAGTGAGTAATGTAGTAAAGCATCTTCTTAACTGTTTTTCTGCTGCCACACTCTCATGCTGACAGGGTTCTGGTTTTCTCCTTTTTTGACAAAGGAGAAAATCACACCTAGGTAATATCTTTCTGTAAAACTAGCATATTAAAAATACATACACCCTCTCAAAATCAGATAAAGACTAGTCAAATTAGGTTGCACTCAAACACTTGGTTAAAACCATCACGGGCAGTCAGGGACAAATGTGATAATGTTTCAGAGGTACAGATCTATGGAATCAGCATCTTCCTCATGGTGAAAGAGCATCTAGGATCTAGATAGACTTGTCTGGCTCAGACATTATTAGAGGATGAACATAATATTAACTGAAAGTATGCAAGTCCAAACCCAGTCCAGAGTGAGGCTTAGGCGCAAAACAGATGAAAAGGAGGACAGGGTGAAAGATAGAAGGATGAGGGAAGGGAGGGAGAAAGGGACCACTTTCCTTTGTAGGAATTTAGGTCATCTTTTTGTTAAGGGCCCCCATGCCTCTTACCTCCAAACATCCATAAATGTATCTGAAAAGCAACCACTGAGGACTGATACAGAATTGCTCTGGAGAGTTTGGAGAAACTACAATCCTGACTTTAATGTTGATAACTTGGCAGCTATTTTTTGAAGTGATTAGGAATACCAAATTTTAAAATAAGCAAATGATCTGAATAAATATTTCTACAAAGATATACAAATGGCCAATGAACACCTGAAAAGATGCTCAGCCATCATCATCATGAGAAAAAAGCAAATCCAAACCAGAATGAACTATTTTACACCACCGGGATGACTATTAAAGAAACAACTCAACTAAAAATAACAAGTGTGAAGGAGGATGTGGAGAAAATGGAGCCATATACATTACTGGTGAGAATGGAAAATGGTGTAGCCATTTTGGTAAGCCTTCTGGCAGTTCCTCCAAAAGTGAAAGAAAGAGTTAGCCCTTCACCCAGCAGTTCTACTCCCAGGTATATACCCAAGAGAAATGAACACATGTCCATGCAAAAACTGCATATGAATGTGCATAGCATTATTCGTAAAGTCACCAGGACGGTACAGAGAAAAAACTGATCCTCACCTCCGTGGGTCATGAACTTCAACAGCAAATTTTTTCTCACGGAAATATAAGTTCTCCAGTTGTTTCCATTGGAATAGCTAATAAATTAAGAAAACACAAAACCACATAGCTTTAATTTATGTTGTTTTACTTAACAATCACAATCAAGAAGGAGCACCAAGATTAAGCACAAACATGTGATTCAGTCTCTTTACAAACCAACTACAACCTGAAACCATTTTATTCCTTCTTCTGTTAATAATCTTTACTAACAACTCTTTGAACAATAAAATTAGGCAACTGTGGGGAACATGCATACTATTTTTCCTGTGACTCAACCAAATAAAAGAATTAGTAAGGAAATCCTCGTAGGTTCCAGTAAGCGCATGCCTACTGATCAAAGATGTTGATATCATATTTAAATGGAAAGATATTTGACGAAATGTTTCACTAAGACCACAGATTAAATTTCAAAAGATAGCAAAGTGAAAATAAACTGGAACCCCAAACAGGGGTGATTCTGCGTGACACCAATTTTCTTGCCTACAAGTGTTCCCCTAAATGGAACAGAAACCAGGAATTGGAGGCAGAGGTGGGGTAGGGGTTAATGCAGGAGCTGGCTGCCCTTTCGGTTTCTGAGCTGAAGCCTCCAGCTTTTGTAAGTAGAACCCACTTCCATATTTTCACTGCTGACATTGTAATGCTGCACTTGGTGTTTTTTGTCAGTTTATTGGGAGAAAACTGACTTTTTGAAAACCACATGATTTGTAAATAAGCAGCTTCACAGAACTGAGCGTGCCCTGCTGTGTTTTTCAGCCTCATTATGTTAGACCTTGTGCTTAGCCTGAGCCTTGGACATCATACTCCATTTCTAGTCTTGATTATTAGGAAAATAATAGCAACAGTGATTTCATTCTATTATTAGACTTTGGCCGGATTTTAAAAATTATGCTCAAATATTCTTCAAAGAGCATTTTCATTATCTAAATAACTTCTCTGCAATGCAGTATCAGTAAAACCATTTAATGAAGTATAGAAACCAAGGTATTTCATAAACATGTAACTCTCATGTAAGGGAAAAGCATGAGTTTAAGGGTCCCATGCATATACAGTTAGGAGACAAGTGTTCAAACTAGACCTGCACTCCCAGAGTGAAACACACCAGCTCACATTAAGACACATGCAGTCATCAGTAACTACAACACTCACCCAGTTCAAAGAGTTAGTTATTAGTGAAAGCTTAAAGCAACATACCAATTTCCTAAAATGTCCGTAGAATTGAGGCTTTTGTTTCTTTTAATCCAGAGTTTCCAAAAATGGGACAGAAATGTGAAAGAAAACCCGAAGGTTCTTTCTACTTCCCCCTCCCAAAGAGCAGCAGTACCGGTGAGCTCTGAACTGAGTTTCATAAGACACTTACTTAGGTGTAACTCAGTTTCACAAAGCGAGCCTCCCACGGCTGACATCAGCAACTCATATCAGGTGACACCTCCCCAGTTCCACTCCTTCTTCCGCGGCCAGTGGGAGAGAGCAAAGCTCTCACCAGCAGATTTTTCTCAGGAGAGAGACTCATTTTTTTAAACAGGTTATAGTATGGATTCAGACGATCTTCCTGGGAAGTAGGTTGCTCTTCACGCAGGTACAGATTTCACACGAGCTGCCCAGGGAGCCATTTGTACCCTGTTACTCACCCTGGACACGAACAGGTTCTACAGGAAGAGCCACAGCACAGCTCAGCTGTGTTCTCCTTTGCATCCATTCCCACACACATAAAAACCAGGGCTGGACTTGAAATATGATCTCTGAAAGCCACCCCCTCCCCCCAGCACTTGCGAACAGAAATCCTAGTGCTTTTGCTTCCATTCAGCCTGTCCCTGCATTGAGAGCGAACATGCCTTCTGCAAGCAAAACCCTACTTAAAAGGTGAGGGGCTCCAGCTTATTTAAATAATTGGAAATAATTAGATGGCAACTGGGTTTGCAAAAGATGTCCTGGGAACGAGATTTTCAGTCTGAAAGGCAAAGCCATTTCCCTACCTGAAATCGTAAAAGTGTATGCAAAATGTAACTTCATATATGTGCCTGTAATAGTGAATTGGAGTGATGAAATAATTTGTGACAGCGGTTGCCACAAGGGCAGGGATAAAATATGGCAAAATATTAGTAATTTTCAGTTTGAGTGGTTATGTAGGTGTTGTCATCTTCTTGGTACTCCTATATATTTCAAAAATTTAAAAGAGATGAAAATTTCTCAAATTAAAATGATATGCTTACATAAAGTGAACATAGGTCAGTCTATCTTATACAACAGTGTGATGTCTACCTCCCAACCATTTAAGAAGCCTCTATTCTAGACACTTATTATCATTGTGATTCTTATCAATGTTTGAGGTTGCTAGGAAAATACCTGTAATTGTGGTGGCACTAGATTCAGCTGGCAGCTAGAAATAGGCTAGTATTTCTTTTGAAATTCCTGAAATTATTCTTCTATTGAGTTTTTGTATTGTTTTTGTGCTCCTGATCTCAGGCAGGATGAAACTGAAAATGGCAATGGAGCTGATGTGAAGTATTCATTTACTGAAAGACTGCCCACGCAACACGGCCTTGTACACAGCAGGCAACTAATTTCATTAGCTTCTTTTTTGCCAGTGTTTTCCTTAAAGCACAAAAAAAGAGCCCCCTCCATGTTCCTGTAAAAATCATGCAGATTTCAGAGCAATGAAAGGAGAAGGGGGAATTGGTCAAAGAACTATCCACCAGGCTGACCTGACTTACTGGGCCCTCTACTTTAGAGAAATGGTCTTATAATGGAATGAGGTATACTCTAAATCACCTGAAATATGAGGGGCCTTAAAGAGGTCAAAGTTCAAAGGTAGAAGGAGGCAAATTTTCTATTATATAGAGAATAACTGGTGCCCACATAGGGTAGGATTATTACCAGGTACAATGTCTTAAGGGTAGGATAAGACTATTATATATATTATTTATGCATGTGTATATACACAAACACATTTGTAATTTTCATATTAAAATTGAAAAGAATGTTTTGGCCAAGCCCAAATTACCATTCTTGGAGGTTTAAATGAGGAGTTTTATTTGCCTTGCAACACAGAGTTAAGAGTATGAAACAGGACTGTTTTCTAAAGTGATCATTAAATGAGCATTATAACAATCAATTATTATTTATTGTTGTTTATGTGATAGTCACTAGTAGCTAATAGTTAGAAATTGTACTATTGTTTAGAATTTATGGTGGAAATTACTTATATGGTAAAAATAAAACTATAAATTAGGTCTCCCAGATTTCTTCCTACCCTACACCAATCTAGAACAACAAGTTGTGCTCATCAGCGTCAAAAGAAGGAAGTAGGTAACAACTGATGAAATAATAGCTGGGATTAACTTTGAGACCACAAAATGAATAAATAAATAGATAAAACAGAAAAAGTAAAAGAGAAGCAATATGAACAATGATATTAACAAAGATATAATCAAAAGCTACAATAGGGAGAAAACATATCCTAAGGTCTGTAATCATTCTGTCTTAAAAAAGAAAGTGTCACCCTGGCTGGTGTGGCTCAGTGGATTGGGTGCCAGCCTGTGAACCGAAGGGTCAGTGGTTTGATTACCAGTCAGGGTACAGCCTGGGTTGTGGGCCTGGTCCCCAGCTGGAGGCATGCAGGAGGCAACTGGTCGATGTTTCTCTCTCACATACCGTTTCCCCCCTTCCCCTCTCTCTAAAAAATAAATAAAATCTTTTTAAAGTGTCAGAATTTTAGAAAATTGATGCAGAAAACCAAAGCAGACTCAAACCCTATTCTGAAAGTGAACTTATGCAAAATATTATGTAATCAGACCAAATTCCTGTTATCTTTAGATGTAAAGGAAGTTGATGATTTTAGAATAATTTGCCATGCATCATTACACTTCATTTAATGAAATGCATGGGTTGAATATTTAAGCCATTTTCTTGAAGTCTACAATCAATTTTTTAGTTGGATACCACTGTTACAGACTTAAAAGAACCAGAAGAAATCACCTCTTCCTCATTCCCATCCCACAATTTCAATGGTTCCTAAACACCGGAAACTACTGTCAATTTTTGATTATAAGACTACAAGGAAAAGCACAGGGACTTTTAGGAGACAGGGTGATGCATACTTTAGTACCTCATGGAGTTATTTATTCATTCCTCTTGAATCAACAAATATTTCTTGTCCACCTTCTATGTGAGAGGTCCTGTTCTTGTTGGTGAATAATGGCCAGGTCCCCTCCCTCGTGGGGCTTACCTGAACCAATTGGAGCAAGTCAGACTACCTTGGTTTGCATTCTGGTTCTACCACTTATGTTTTATTTGACAAATTGCTTAACTTTCCTGAGTCTCAGCTTCCTCATCTGTAAAGTAGGACCAACAGCGCCTGCCTCAGAGGGTTGAAAGGTACAGTGAGATTATGTCTGTGAGAGACTTAGCCTACTGTTTGAGAATAAACACTTGGTAAGTGATAATGCTAGTTATATTTGTTAGGACTCTCAGTCTAATTCCCTAATTTTATCATGCCTTTGTGCAGATGGAGGATAGCCATTTAATGGCAGAAACGGAACAAGAAACAGCTGTCTGGATCCCATATCTGTCTTTCTGCTGATGAAAACAGCCAAGTTATTATGTTGACACACCTATATCACTCAGGCTTCCAATTCTGTAAGTTTCAGCCTCTGTGAAAACTGCTGTGTCTGTTGATTTCATCGGTGGCTTCTGAATATACCCTCTAGGTAGGAAATGTGTTCACTTGTCCTGCAACATGGAGGTCACATAGGAGGAAGGAGGAGTGGGTCAAGGGCATGCCTGCAGGGAGATGCAAGGCAGCAAGCTCCCTCTTGTCTTGGGTACCCAGTAAAGGAACATGCCCCAGTAGGATACAAGAATGCTGAGGAGTGCACACTTGCCACCAGCCAGATGGACCTCCTGGGTTAATGAAAGACAGAAAAAGCCTCAGTCATAAAGGATCAAACTGTCTTTTTAAATCTTGACAAACTGAAAGTAGACACCACCCAGAGGATTAACACTAGGCTAGGACAGGAAAGGCGTCACTAGAGGTTTT